GAGTCCTGGATATGAAAATCCCTTTCAATTCCGTGGACTCTAAGGCATCATTTAACTTTTTAAAAGACATCGGTCTACTTTATAGACTCTGAAGTCTTTTAACCCACATTTCCCTCTTTGACGTTATCTATAGATAACATGTTGTATATTATGTATTCATCATCTCTTTCACTTTTATCATTTTAACCCCTTTCATATTTTAATTATTTACACATACCCTGCTAATGCTTTTAAAATATTTAATTTTATCTGGTTTTATCTACGCTGCTCGCATCATGTTTAAAACAACAAAATCACCATGGCCCTAACTGATCATAGTTGTCTAGGAATCAGACCTTAACCCACACAGAAGGACAATGGAACACTGTATTGTATGAGAATATAGTGTATCGGAAAAAATTGTCTGGTGGAAGAATTGTGATTAATTTTAGTACATGTACCTGCAATGTCCTACCGACAATTGATCATCTCCTAACAAACAGGGAATACCATCAGAGACGAACTATTAGGTACAAGGCCAGGGCGTGTTCCGTTGTACAAGACTCAACTAATCTCTATACACATTCCTTCCGTAGTGTTTTGCAATTCACTGGTTCTATTCAATGTGACAAATCAAAGATAGTAATATGTTTAAATAGCCTTGGTGAGCTACTCTTTAAGGACAAAAATATAACAAAAAACAAAATTAACACCACTTTCTTAACGCAGCTTTGCAGTAATTATCTCGAACATGTATGTCTGGGGTATGCTAGTATTTTAGGTACAGTGCTAATACAGCATATATTTACTACACTCATATACAAAATAATTACATTGATGATGGGAACACGTAATTGAAGATTGAGTTCTATCAGAAGATGATGTTATAAAATTATGGCATTATTGGATCCAGTGAACAGATCACGAGGACATATTAGGAAAGTTTAGTTCCAGGTTTTTTATGTTTCATTTTGATAACTAATTCAAATGAAGAATTCAAACCCACGACACAGTCCTGTTCCCTACCAAGTGGCACAGCGTCTTGAAGAATGAGGAATTGTTGCTCGTCAATAAACCTGCTGTGTATGCTGTCTAGAATACTGAAAACAATTTATCAACTGCCTTCTAATGCAGGACATTTTGGATACAATAAAGGCGAAGGCAAATGTGATCATAAGCAAAGTACCTTTAATTCTTAATAGCATGTTAAATAAGTATAGATTGATAAAAAAGATAAAATACATAAAAACCGATCTTTCTCTATGCAAAATGTTGACGAAACAGCGACCAGAAGTTTAAATTAAAGCTATAGAAAGTTTGTTGGATAATTGGTAATGCATTCTTAAAAGGAGACAAGTTATCATTTCTAAAGTACACGAGTAAACAAAACCGAAGAATGGCGCGATGTACATGTCGTTCCGACATATTTCTGGTTTTTAAAGTTAATAATGATAATAGATAAATGTATACCTATATCTCAACAAAGTTGATAAAAGAAATGCGTATCCTGAGTATTATTGAATACCATTATAATCCATTGGAAAAAAATCATTAAAATTGACTGGTGATGGATTATGCCTTTTAATGAACGCTGTACTTACTTTCTTAAAAAGACAATGCCTTTGACTATAACATAGTGTTTATTCTATCAACTAATATCTATACCAGGTCCATATGACATTGAATACGATTCACATGAGACCTTGCTACGTGTAAGATAGTGAGGCACAATTTTTTTTTTATCTGGTGACAAAATGAGATAAGAAGGCAAGGTCAACTGGTAAAACTGGTGACACGTCAAGGAAACAGCAAACAAGATGGTTGGGTTTTCGTTAGCCATTATTATTTTATTGTCAACAAAGTTGATACAGGCGACACCTCCCGGTAACCGGGACGACCTCCAGGATCAGGAGATAACCGAAATAAAGAAGATGATGGTGTTACAGTCAGAGTTGATCCAATCACAGGCAGAGATGTTGCAGGAGTATGGAAAACGAATAGGTATCAAAATTTAACCCAGCTATGATCACAAATCGTAAAAAAAATGATTACATTTACAAATATGTCCATACAGAAATAGTTTATGAGTTTAGGTAAAGTTTTCCCCTGATTCACCATTCTTATTTATATTTACCCGACAATATTGTTTGAATACTACAACGGTTTTGGGCCTGTATTCAATATCCTTACAAAAATTGCCCTAAAACGAAAGTGTTCTCATTCCTTTATTTACATCTTTAAAATTAAGCAAACAATCACTACACTTTGAGTTAAACAAATTGTTTGCCCATGTACAATCTATATCATGTTGTGTTGTTTTTAATAAACATTTTGTTATTTTTTATGAAGCTGAATTACAAATGGATATTAGAAAAGAAATAAGATATATAAATCAGAAAATACCACAGTCTCCTTTTTTTGGTGGACATCTTGCCATTTCCCTACAGTACGACAAGATTGGCAATAACCAAGCTATAGAGCAAGCACGGTTATTACATTTTCAACATAAAACGAAGATAATCTTTACTTTTTTTCTCAATATTAACGTTTACAACGTTCCCCCTTCAATTTTCTGATGGCTATACAATTTTGTGGTAAATCCATTAATGTTTTTGTCCTGTTGTGTTCACAATGATACATTCTTTTTATTATTTTACTTGATAGCTTCACTGGAAAAAGAAAACAATGACCTTGTCAAACGCACAGAGAAATTGCAAACCGCTAATGAAATAATGGAATCTAGACTAAGCGATCTGAAGCAAGTACACTTGGACACCTGCCCTGCGGAGGATGTACACGTCACAACCGGGCAATCGACAGAAGAGATCGAGGATCAGGAGAACGGTCAACCTCAGTCACCAGGAAATCAAGATGAAGTTGTAGATTCTAAAACTATTCTAGCTTCAACTGAAAGTAGATTTTTTGCTGTTTATGATTAATTTACCCGAGTTCCATTGTAGTTATCATCCGATAACCTAAACTAAATAGAAAATGAATTCTTAATTTATTGTTTTTTTCTTTAATATTACATAAAACGCGTTCTTTTAACCGGAATATATCCCGCGGAAGGATAACAAGCATTCCATTCAAGCCCGATGTGTGATAAAAATTGTACGGTTACGCTTCGCGTTAAGCTTCGGAGACCACTGTGACATGATAGACCAAACTAGGAATTATACGAACGAAATCGGCTGCATATCTTCAACATGAACATCACATTGGTTTGTATGTCCGCTCTTAAACATGTAATCATAACTCATTAGCAATAATTATTACTTCAAAGTTGCTCTATGCGGCTATTTTAGCACAACTTGAAAAGTTGCGTAACTCGAGGTACTCGTACAATATTCCACACGCAGTCGTAAACTGTTATAAGAACATCATATCGTTGTCATTCAATTATAAGTTTATCTCAACAGTTATATTTAATACCCAAAGATGAACTGTTTAATTCCGGAACACACAAACACACGAAGTTATTTTGAAATTTTGATTTTTACTTCAATCATTACAAAACCCAGTTCGTGTGCTGTGATCAAACTATCAGTATATAGGCAGGCAAATGACATGTAGGTCATGTAAATTTATCGAACCCGTCCTGTGATTACCATTATCTACCAGCCTTATCGAGTGCAGTTGAAAATATTACGGCAAAATTGCCGTATATCGAACGTTATTGTCAAAATTAGATTTAATATCGTATTTCTGGGTATTGTTTACACTATGTCATCAGAGTAAACGTATGTAAATGAACACAAACACGTAAAAAAAACACAAAATCCTGCCGTCCTCTCAGTCGGTGAAGTAATTAATCATCGGGAACTGTAAACAACGTGACGTTCTCGGAAAGTATACATTTTAACAATGTATGTATATATTTCAACAATGTATCTTTTGGATGAATACACTGAATGAGTTGTACAAATCTGGTATCCCCGGTAATGCTGTTTACTTCCGAAAATAGCAATGGAAATCTCCGGGCTGTTAACTGACACATATGTACACGGTGTATGTATCATTACGCGCACGAGAATGACTGTCGTTATCGATTGATAATGGCAATGACCTCAACAATGGTTATTGAGTCAATTAAACTTGAAACTGTAAATATTTAATGTTAAATTAATATAAAGAGGTTTTATATTGATCTGAATTCTTTTAATTGCTGATTTGAAAGTTAGTTACGGTAGGCGTAATTAGCATTGCCGCAAAAAGAACTGGTTATCTATTGTTGTTTTCTTAAATGATTCGTGTAATTGATACACTAGAAATCTTAATACTCAATGTCTACATAAAACGTCACATTCCCAGATTGTTCATCATGCAAAATATAATATAAGTAAATTCGATTAACTATGTGCTTGTTCTATGTTTACAGCTGACGGCAAACTATCGCGGATACGGAGAGTAGCTAATGTACCCGGAAGTAAGTGTTAATAGTTTTGCAACATTATTTGCTTTATTGATACTATTTTATTAGTTAAGGTGGCAATCCCAAAACATAATTACACAATAGTCAAATAAGAAACAAGTAAACATGTTTTGGTTTTGGTTTTGGTTCAGTATATTGTTTAACGTCCTATCAACAGCTATGGTTATTAAAGGACGGCCACCCCTGCGTGCAAGATTCATGCGTGTAGTGTATGCGTGTGTGTTTTGGAAGGCTGCGATATGTTCGTGTTTGTCTCCTTGTGATAGCGCGGAACTGATGCCGACTTCATAGTGCTACCTCACGGAACCATACTGCCGAAGACACCCAGTGGGACACCCCACCCGGTCACATTATACTGACACCGAATGAATCGGTCGTCCCGCTCCTAAATTGCTAAGCGTTAAGCAGAAGTAGCAACTACTATTTTTACAGACTCTGGTATGTCTCGGCCAGGGGACAGAACGCAAAGCCCTCCTCACAGGGGCGAACGCTCAACTAAAGGCCAAAAGTGTGGCATAGTCAAGAGAGACATTAGGAAGAAGAAAGTTGTTAAGAATGAAGAGAAAAGATAAGATCCCAAATTTAGTCGCCTCTTACGTTCATGCAATGGGGGCAGCAGGTACAATTATTACGCCCTACCTGCAGGGACAAGTAAACATGTAATGGAGGTTTGGTTTCTGTGTATAAGAACATATAATGAAAGTTTGGGTGTAGTGTTCTGGTGATGAAATCAACGTTATTAAAATTATTTATGTTATTTTCACTTCTACTATCAAGGCTCATTTTTCTTTATTTTGTTAAATTCTTTATTGAAAGAGAAAACACTTAACTGCATTATGGTTTTTTTAATAAATAAGATTTACAATGTCCACGATTGAAATAAAAACAATGTACATGTCAAACAAATTTTGTGTCCCTTACGTTTATGGTATATGTCTCAGACTCAAACTGATAACAATATTTCAGATAATCTCACCGCTGTTGGATTTTACTGTACACTTGTGTCCCCAAATCCTTTGCTTCTCGGACAACATCAGGCCGTTGAGTTTGACGACGTTGTAACGAACGTCGGGAACGGATACGACTCCCGACATGGACACTTCACGGCTCCTGTCGCCGGGCTGTACTCGTTCACATCTACCGTACTACTTGTAACGTCTAATAATCATATAATGAATCTCGCCATTGTTAAAAACGAAGTAGATATTGGATACTTGTTTTCTAATTCCGCGTATGATAAAGGCACCAGGACGGTTGTGCTAC